GAGGGCATTCAAGCCAAATGTAACAAATATATAAAATGTTTGTATCCTCTTATAAACAGGAAATCCAAACTTTGCCTGACGAATAAACTAATATTTAAACAAGTTTTTAGACCGGCCATGCTTTACGCTGTGCCAATATGGTCTAGTTGCTGCACTACCAGGAAAAAAGCACTTCAAAGGATTCAGAACAAAATTCTGAAAATGATTTTGAAGTTGCCTCGCTGGTACAGTACAACCGAAGTACATAGAATTTCGAATGTTGAGACTTTAGCACAAATGTCCAACAAAATAATTAATAATTTCAGGCAAAAATCGCTGCAATCCTCAATTGCAACGATTAATTCCCTTTATACTTAGATAAGATTTAGTTTTAGTTTTTAGTTTTAAGATATCAATTGTTATACTGACATGCAGGTTAAAAAACCTGTTTAAAATACTGAATTGCCAAGACATGAACAATGTAAAAACACTTAGATATATATCATAACAATTAAGGCTGGTACGTTACTGCAGTAACTGGAGCACCTAGGTTAAAATGAAATGTAATTTATTTTGAATTTGGAACAAATAAAGAGTTAAAAAAAAAGAAAAAAAAAAAAAAATCAATCCCCGAAGACCGTCAACAGATCTTTGAACGCATAAACCCGAGATGGGAAATGAACTCGCCTAGGCATAAACCATTCCTTTTCCTACGGAGGAGCGAATGCATACTGAGTATGGCCGGGTTCTGTCGATGTCTTCTCGGTCGCGGCTGAAGCACGGCCTGAAGAAATCTGTAGAAACAATTACAACAAGCGCGAGACAGCTCAACATCGTTTACTTGTTAGCAAATATTAACCCGATGTGTTCACCCCTAATCATTTTGGATTTGATCTTTCATTATACAAAAGAAAAGCAGATAACAACTAAAACGTCACAATGACATGCTGTTTGACAACAGGCTCTCGCTTTCAATTTTCGTTAGAGAAAAAGAGATAACAGGCGTAATCCCCTACTTTAAGCTAGTACATATGAGTAGATAGTGTTGCCGTGAGGTACACTCGAAAATTTCAAATGTAAGTGCGTCAAATCAAATTTCGAGCCGCTCCGTCTGTCACTTCGTTTGTGGTTAGAAGGTAGTGGTTCGAATCGATATTTGCGCCGCGATAGGTCCTGACGTCGATAATGTCCGAGAAGTGCCTTCCGTCGATCAAAACGTAGTCGATTTGCGATTCTGTCTGCTGCGGTGATCTCCAGGTGTACCGATATGGGAGGCTATGCTGGAAGTAGGTACTACCAACAATCAATACGAAACTAACGATTTTAAATTGGCTCACCACTTTAGTAGCCTATTGGTCCCAAGCAAACGATTAACGTACCCTATTCTAGTTGAAATTCTATTACTACACTATATTTGTTTTGATTCGCTATGAAAGTTTGACAGATAACATCAGGGGTGTGTGGATTCATGCAGAACATGCAGGGGTGAGTGAAATAGCTTGGGACTGCTTGGGACCGTTGTTCTGGTACTGAGTGAGCCAAAAATAATAATGATTTTCTTCGGGACCCAGTGGTCTTAGAGTTACCTCTATGGTACTACGGATGACCATAGAGTTAACTCTAAGACTAGAAGGTCCCGAAGAAACGTACTCAACTTTTTTGCTCAGCTCTGGTACCAACAATCAATACGAAACTAACGATTTTAAATTGGCTCACTACTTGACTAGCCTATTGGTCCCAAGCAAATAGATTAACGTACCCCATTATAGTCGAAATTCTAGTACTACACTATGTTTGTTTTGATTCGCTATGAAAGTTTGACAGATAAAATGAGGGGTTAGTGGATTTTCCCATGTTTCGAGGGGTGAATCGATTAGCTTGGGACCGAAGAGAGTACCAGAGCGGAGCCAAAAAGTTGAGCACATTTCTTCGGGACCTTCTGGTCTTAGAGTTACCTCTATGCTGGTACTATCTTCGGTCCCAAGCTAATCGATGCACTCCGAAAATTTACGGACCCCTCATTTTATCTGTCAATCTTTCATAGCGAATCAAAACAAACATATTGTAGTACTAGAATTTCGACTAGAATGGGGTACATTAATCGTTGGCTTTGGACCAATAGACTAGTCAAGTAGTGAACCAATTTAAAATCGTTAGTTTCCACCGGTTGGTATGACCAACAATCAATACGAAACTAACGATTTCAAATTGGCTCACCACTTTAGTAGCCTATTGGTCCCAAGAAAACGATTAACGTACCCTATTCTAGTTGAAATTCTATTACTACACTATGTTTGTTTTGATTCGCTATGAAAGTTTGACAGATAACATCAGGGGTGTGTGGATTCATGCAGAACATGCAGGGGTGAGTGAAATAGCTTGGGACTGCTTGGGACCGTTGTTCTGGTACTGAGTGAGCCAAAAATAATAATGATTTTCTTCGGGACCCAGTGGTCTTAGAGTTGCCTCTATGGTATGACCATGTTCTTAGAGGTGGCGAAAGCGATGAGTCTGAAGGCCGGCACACAATAGATACGTTTTCAGGTTTTTTGACAGTTAGCCCATGCGTTCTGTAAAAAAACCCGAAAACGTATCTATTGTGCACCGACCTTAAGGCCGTTGATACATCAGGTTTTCTGAGAGAATATCTGAGAGACATTATTCGAATTGTTGGACATTTTGGGAACTTCAGAATAGTACCATAGAGGTAACTCCATAGAGGTAACTCTAAGACCACTGGGTCCCGAAGAAAATCATTATTATTTTTGGCTCACTCAGTACCAGAACAACGGTCCCAAGCAGTCCCAAGCTATTTCACTCACCCCTGCATGTTCTGCATGAATCCACACACCCCTGATGTTATCTGTCAAACTTTAATAGCGAATCAAAACAAACATAGTGTAGTAATAGAATTTCAACTAGAATAGGGTACGTTAATCGTTTGCTTGGGACCAATAGGCCTTCAGAATAGTTGAGATCTCTGATTACCTGAAAGGTAATGACATAATTTCTGAGTCTCTTGGTATCACATTAGGAAATATCTTAGGGATACGATTTTAATTGTTAACTATTTATCACTGATCACTGATCACCTCTGATGGTTTTGAAACGATTTTTCAGCAACCTGCACCGTTTGAAAAATTCTTGTAAATTTCTGTGAGATATCAGGCATAACATTTGATAACGGCACATAAGCATTTGTAAACAAACTTGCTAAGGCCCTTTTCACGCGAACCAAAGTACGCCCACGCAGACACGCGTTTGACAGAAAAGTGGTTTGTTTTCGCCCGCGTATTGTCTTCGCTTCTCTTAGTTTATGCCAACTGTAGCTCAAAATTAAACAAGGGGAGATTTAACGCGACAGTTAAAAATCATATATATCGTGGGAGAGACGTGATTTAAATTGATGGACAGTTGAAGATCTTCAGAATAATTCTTGATCAACCTGAAGACTAGCAAAAATATTATGAGAAGTTTTTGGAGATCTCTGATCACCTGAAGGTCTTGATTTACCTGGTATCACGAGAGAATATCAGTTTGAGATCTTCATGTTCTTCATGTAGATATTTTGCAGAATAGTAATTTCTCATAGCGAAACACAAAACAGAATCTTATCGTGAAATTTGTTTTTGTTTTGAATGTGAGTTGACAGCTGAGAGAATTTTAACGGCGGTTGATTGGATATTAAACGTGCATCATCCATCTACTGAAAAAAAAAAATATCGTTGGATTTTCCCCTTTGAATCAAGCTTCCAAAAAAAATCACAATACCTGAAGTATTAAAAAAGTATTCAGAAGACCTCATGGAAATCTTAAAACACATGAAGGTCTTTGGAATATTTTCTTAGTCACCTGGAATCATGAGAGAATATCTGAGAGATGTGATTTGGATTGTTGGTATAGTTGTATCGTTGTATGTTTCCAGAATGATACCTGATTAACCTGAAGTCTTGAAAAAGTAACCTGAGGTTAGCATGCGGATCTCTGATCACCTGATGGTCTTCTGAGCAACCTGGTATCATGAGAGAACATCTAATAAACTTGATTTGAAGTGTTGGATAGTTGAAGATCTTTAGAATAATACTTTATCATCCGGAAGTCTTGAACAGTGTCGTGTGCAAGGAGGGGGCAGTGGGGGGGCATGGCTCCCAAATGATTTGTGTTTCATACCACATGCGCCCTCCTGATGCTCCTTATGCTAGACCTTCACTGGCGTAGGGGTAGGATACTAGGATGATACTGATGCAATTGGAAAACTTTTGTAATGTATGACGAAATTGTAATTGTTGAATTTAATGTCATCTTAGCAGCAAAGGGCGCTAGGTGTTTTTATTTAATGGAATTTAATTTTTTTGTTTACCTTGGTGCCTTGATGTAAAACGAAATAAATTAGCCAATGACAGGGCCAATGAGTTAAAAATCACTCTTAGTTTAAAAAAAAATCTATTCTAAACCCTAATAGAGATTGTATGGTTAATTTGCTTTACGACGTGTTCTGGGTATCATCCAAACCATTTGTGGAATAGTTCAATGATTTGGGTTATCATTCGTTTATGGTTATTTTTTATTAGTCTTCCTAATTTGGAACTCCAACGTAAGAACAATCCAGCTTTCCATGCTCGGTAATGGCGGCCTGTTTGTATGAATAAATGTATCCTTCACTGTACTTTTTGACACTAACTGGAGGGCGTATGTTGTTCCATTTTCTTCTATTCCTGGGAGAGGGAAAGGGAGGGATCAAAATCCGAACATCCAGATAGTGTCAAAAAGCACAGTGAAGGATACATTTATTCATACAAACAGGCCACCATTACCGAGCAAGGAAAGCTGGATACGTTCGTGGAGCATATAAATTGTCGGTGATATAAATGCTAACGAGCAAAGTAAAAAAAAATAAACCCGAGAATGGTGACAAATTTGATTGGCAGTTTTCCAAGCTGACATATAGGTGGCGCAGCTGTCAAGTTCGTATAGTTTTCAACCAGCAGATTTCGTTCAGTGCAGCGCTTGGTAGCCGCTCTCACGAATTAAAGTTTTGACATTTTAATTGACGTTGCAAAGGGACGGAAGGAAAATAATGCTTCTTCGGTAAATAATCCTGATTCTTTTTTTCAATTTTCCGTATTTAAACAATATTAATTCTCGCAATAGGCACATTATCCCGACTAACAACGATGTGGAGGAAATTTACATCGTCAAGCAGGAGGACGAGCAGGCCGACCCGAGCAGTAATCCTCTGGGTGCAGCGGCTGGGCCCAGCAACAAACCCCGATCACTGCCTCCGGCGCTTCTGTACGAAAACGAGGACATCGAGATTAAGGACGAACCGCTGAGTGTACACGGAAGCGACGAAGAGGATTACGAAGATGAAAAGTACGATCCACCGGTTCCGTTACTGCATGCTCTGCCCGTTGAGGTGAAACTGGTAGAGGATCTTCCGAAAAAACTGGAAGCCGCTATAAAGAATGAACCATTCGAGACAACATTGGAGCTGCCTGCGACGCTGCAATCGAAACCACTTGCTGTAAATCAACAGAACGAGTCAAAAGTAAAACCGGACGAGAAAGTGAAAACGGAGGCAGACTCCAGCTCGGATGGAGATTGGGGCCAGGATGATTGCGAACCGCTGGTTACGCAGGTGGACACACCAAAACGCGGTCCTAAGCGGAAGATCGATATGAAACCGCTTAAGAAAGGTTCCGAATCGGACGACAGTGGAGACTTTCTCGATGACGACGATGACTACAAACCTCCGACGGACAAAGTCAAGAAGGAAAAGAAAGAACGGAAGAAGCGTCGTAAGAAGGTAAAGTCAGAGGCCGATGGCAGTGACGAATCTGACGGAGAAAATGAGATCAAATGCTATATTTGCGTAGAAGACCAGAAGGAAGGTTTGGCCCTGCTCAAGCATTTGAGAGACAAACACAAGAAAATGTTGCCATTTGATTGCAATGTTTGCACTTCGCGGCGGATCACCAAACTCAAGGACTTGAACTTTCACTTCCGGCAGCACGACGAAAGTCGGAAGCATAAATGTGTATACTGTGCGGCTCGTTTTATATCAGCACAGGCCCAGAGCAGTCACATGCGACGGATGCATAGCGAAAAGTACGATGAAGACATGGAGAAGCATCGCCGTTTTATGTGCCGCTTCTGCGATAAGAAATTCACGAAAAAGCATGACCACGAAACGCATGAAAAACGACATCTTAAGGAGAGCTGCAACGATGCTAGCTTCCTGAAGCGGGAGTTAAAATGCTACATCTGTAATGACTTTGTTGGGAACACCAGGGACGAACTAAATACCCACGTAACAATTCACAATCAAGAATGGCTCCCGTATTACTGCAAATTGTGTGAAAATCTAAAAATTACTACAACCCGTGTACTGTGCGAACATTTGCGTCAACATGAGGAAGGTCTAGCGGTCAAATGTGTCTATTGTGATAAGCGTTTTGCCACTTTGGCGGCTTGTCAGGCTCACGAACGCACCCACGCAGCGGAAAAGGAAGCTGATGAACTGCTGGATGCGGAAAAGATGACCGAAGCTTATGATGCCAAGGTGGTCGTTGTGGATGGACAGAAGCGATTCCAGTGTGATAAGTGCGATAGATCCTACACACTGTTCAGCAGCCTTCGGAAGCATCAAAATCTGCACACCAAGAGCAATGCTTTCATTTGCAAAACGTGTGGCCGAGCTTTCATCAAGGCATCCACGCTGGCTCTTCACGAGCGTCGCAATCACGATGAAAATGCTAGATTCAATTGTGAAGGATGTGGAAAGACGTTCCGCACGATCGGACACCTATTGGATCATAGAACACGTACGCAACACTTTGCCGGGAAGCCGTACATTTGCGAGGGTTGTACTGAAACGTTCCGCTTGCCGGAAGAATTGAAAGAGCATCAGGAAACGTGTCCGGAGACGGAAGCTAACCGTCCGTGTTTCTGCGGACTTTGTTCCAATAATTTTCCAACGTTGGCAGTGGCGTTGGAACATGTAAAGACCGAACACGAACCGGAGATTCCGGAAACCAAATGCAGATACTGCGATTTAACATTCCGCGATGCCGAACGAATCGTGGAGCATGAGTTCAAGCATACGCTCCCGGGAATTATGACTTGTACGATGTGCAATCGTATCTTTAAGCATCTGAAAAATCTTCAATGCCACATGAAGAATCACGGAAAGGTGGCCATTCCCTTCATGTGCGATATCTGCGGAAAGACGTTTACTCAAAAGGGGACGCTGACTATTCATACTCGTTTGCATACTGGTTAGTAACCATTTTCAGGGTTTTCTTTTCTTCTGGGAACTGAATTAATATTCTGTTTTTTGTTGTAGGCGAACGTCCGTACACATGCCAACTTTGCCAGAAAGGATTCGTGGACAAAAACGAAATGCGGCGGCACTACAACATGCACTTCAATCAACAGAGCAAGCTGTTTATTCCGAACGCGGAACAGATTGCTGCGCCCGTGGACGTCGGAGCGCAGGGTAAAAAGTACAAACAGTATACTTGTAAAATTTGTGGTCGCCAGTTGACTACTTCCACGGCGTTAGCGAAGCACATTACTACTCATACGGGTATGCTACCATTGGTATTCCTTCGGACTTAAAAGAAAGTAACCATTTCCATTCTCCGTACAGGTGAAAAGAAGTACCAGTGTGAATTTTGCGACAAGCGGTTCGCTCAGGGAGGTCAACTGACCGTTCACCGGCGGATCCACACCGGTGAGCGTCCTTTCGCTTGCGAAACTTGCGGGCAGCGTTTCGTCGGAGGGAGCAACTACAAGCGCCACGTGAAGCACCGGATGTGTAAGCCAATGGCGGTGGCAGATGCGGCATTACACCAGGAATCACAGACAGCATCGGTACCTCTGCCAACGGCGGTTCCACAATCGGTGATCATGGAAACGATGACCGTGAGCGATGAGCGGATTTATCCCACTCTGTAGGTTGGACAGTGTGAGGGTAGGGTGTTATGAATTTTCCAATATTTGATACCCATGGCACAATTTTAGTAACACGCGTGAATTACTTGAACGTTTATAATATAATTGAAACTATACGGCTAGGTATCTACTTAGAGAGTAGATATTTCTGCAACTTAACTCATAATAGGAATGGTCCCCTGCTTATGATATGCGATAAAAGTTTAGAGTTATTAGACGTGTTTATTTTTTAATCAGGTTGTAATGATCGTGCGCTACAATTGTGAAGATGTAATGTAGTTACACCATTCGATTCTATAAAGCGTCTTCTTATTTGAACTACTCACGCGTGCAGAGGAAATGATTTAATCCGAAACTAAACCATGCAGGATTTTTAGACAATTCCTGGCAATTGAAAACGGCTATGCTTGTTTATTCAACTAAACAACCATCGCTGTATTACTTCTTTCGTTTATACTATTATACCATTCACATACATGATTGTAGTACCGTTGTTCTAATTCAATCTAGTACGGCGTTTGCGGTACTGGATTAAAAGAGTACAACGATACTACAACTATGTCTGTCGTCAGATGTATTAACTGCAGATAGCCCAGACACAAACCTTGCTTGAAACCGATCTAATAGTATCATCAGGAACAAATTTTGTTGCGATGCTCATGTAAGCAGAAGCACCCACTTTTGTTGGATTACAATCGTTATAGTATCTGCCTTATACTAGTTGGTAATGTCGTAGCTACATAGTAAGACTATGCTAGAGGATCCGGGACCGATTCATGTCCCGGAAGAACACTTATTTTTTGTTTCTTATTCTTGGATGTTGATCTGGCAAAATTTCACACCCTGAGAAGCTTTCCGTTTGTAGATGGGTGGCTTAAGCGCCACTCCTGAAACGGGGCGCCACTGAGTAGGGAAAACCGGGAGAACCAGGAATTAACCGTGAATCGAAAATCTCTTGGTATGCCATTTGGAATTAAGAAATGTATTCTCCCAAAATTTCCTTGGATTTCACTTCAGAATTCTTTCCTTGCCTTTAATCCTTCGCTTCCCAGAAGGTTTTTGGTTGTTTTGAGATTCAAAAATGTAGGGGAAATCGATGTAATGTCGGCCTAAATGCCCCTAATTTGCGCCCATACATAAATTCAGTAATCGACTAAATTATCAATAGTGTCCAAAAATATCCATTAGTACCGTCCCATTGACGCGTGCATCTAGATAACATTGATAAATAGCAGATTTTCAGCGATTGGCCCAATCTTAGATCCATAGGCCAACATTAGAGCCATTTCCCCTATTTTTGAGAAAACTGCAAGAACAAAAGGTATTCCATACAGTCTAAAATTCTTGATAGAGCTGGAATTAGGGCGTAACAGCTTTTGTAAACAATGACTTCTCTCGATGATTTCTCGAAACTCAAGGCACTAGAAATAATCGAGAGAAGTAATTGTTTACAAAAGCTGTTACGCCCTAATTCCAGCTCTATCTAGAATTATCGAATCCATATTAAAATGTGTTTATTTAAAATCAATAGTATGCTAATTCGTTTTCAATAGTTACTCAGTTGAATCTTCACGTATAAATATAGACGAGAATTAACACACTTAGAAGCTTAAATAAGTACTGACTATTTAATGGTAGATTGACAAACATGAGCCGGACTGAAAAGTTGTGGATCACTTGTGCTACCGTGGGAAGGATAGGGTTAAGAGGATCTCTTGGATTTATGTTGGAACTCTCTTGAAACTTTCCTATCTACTCTCCAAGAAATTTCTTCAGATTTTCTTGCAGCACAATATTCATAGTTTCATTGTTTTATTTATTCATTGTTGTTTTACATCAACAGGTTGGATGAAGCCCCAATGATGTTAACCTTATCGGTTGTTGTTTTCGTGAGAACGTAATAGCGGAGCATTTGGCTGGGTTCACTACCATTCTGTTTAACCTGCACCAACTAGCGAATACATTCAGCTGACGTTGAAGAAAGTGACAGTCAGCAATGGAGCAGATTCGTAGGAAGATTTTTAGGTCATCTGCATATGATAACCGAGGAGCTTCGATGACCAGATGCACGTCGTTGAAGTACAGTATAAAAATTAACGGTTCCATGTGGCTTCTCTGAGGTATACCTGATGTGGCGAAGAAGCTAGCTGATCTGCAATCTCCTATGGCAACCTTTAGTTGCCGACCGGTAAAATATGATCGAAACCAACTCAGAAGATTACCGCATACACCGAGCCTGCCGACTTTAGCAATCGCAATAGCATGGTTCAACTTGTCGAATGCTGCGGATAGGTCTGAATAAATAACGTCCGTTTGAACCCGATCCGACATGCTTTCGGTTATATACGATGATTGGTGTTTGTAGAGCGGCCGACAGTAAACCCATGTTGATCAGCACTCAAATACTGCTTGCAATGGGACAGCAACGGTTCCATAATCACTAGCTCGAATAGCTTCGAAACGGCACTTAACGATGTAATTCCTCGATAGTTATCCATAGCTCGTTTCCTTCCTCTTTTGTGAACGCGAAACATGTGCGCAAATTTCCAGCAAGATGGAAATATGCCACTGGAGAAAGACATTCGGAACAGGCGAAGAAGCGGAATTAACAAGCTAGCAATATGTCTCTTCAAAAATACAAATGGCACTCCATCAGGTCCAGGATTGAAGGATGACTTGAGCAGAGTCGCGGCCTTAGAAATCATCTCAGCATTAACATCGATTGCACCCAGCGTTCCAAAAGGATTTCGGGTGTAGCTTAAGTTTGCGCTGGATGCCTCGTTGGAAACTTGAAAAGCATTCACGACTGACTCGCTGGTACATGTGATCCAGTCTCACATAATGTAGTTTCTTCTTCTTCGCATTTCAAGCTTATTGCATATCGCATATTAGCTTATAGCGTGCTCTCAACTTAGTGTTCTAGATGCACTTCCACAATTATTAATTGAGAGCTTTCGATGCCTGTACCATTTTTGCATTTTGGTATAATTGTGTGGCAAGTCCAATCATACTTCTTTGCCCAGGAAAGTCGAGAAATTTTCCAACCAGAAAAATTCCTAGACCGGACCGGGAATTGAACCCAGCCACCTCCAGCATGGTCTTGCTTTGTAGCTGCGCCTTTACCGACTTAGCTAAGGGAGGCCCCAATCTTCTCAATGCTGCTCTCTTGATTGACTTCAACCTACGTAGCTCTCTCGTCTGCCAGGGAGGGTGAGACACTTTGTAGTGAGTTCTTTTCGGGACGTGTCTGTCAATGACAAATGCCAAGACATGTGAAAAGTTGCTAGACAATACACTCAATACATCTATGATGCTGCAGTGGTCAGCTTTACGGAAGTCATAAGAAACCGTAGCAGGATAATCGTCGAAATCACGCACGAGTTTGTCCTCAACAGTGACAATTAGAGGGGGTGATGTGGAACTACAGTACTTGTTCGCTAACTGGGCGTTCTTTAACTGGGCTGCTTTTTAACTGGATGTTCGATAACTGGGCTGTAGCCCTGTTTAAAAGCAGTTATACGTCAACATTAGACGTCCCATATTGTTTGACATTTACCTTCATTTCATGCATTCATTTACATTCATTTGCTTCTAACTTTTTACATCAACAGCATTCCGCAAAATGACGTATAGAGCTTTAGTAGGTTTTGTTATTAACTTCAACTTTTGCCCATAACTCAAATCTGTATCTCTTATGCGTCACGAATTAGAGCGGGCAGAACTTGTTACTGTTTTTCAGTGAATGTTAAATACATTCATTGAAAAACACTAGTGGCTTCTGTTCGCTCTGGTTCATTATGCATAAGAGATACGTATTTGAGTTGTTAACAAAAGTAGCTAATAATAAAACCTACAAAAAATCCATACATTATTTTGCAGAATTCTGTTGGTAAAAAAAGATAGGGGCAAATTAATGTAAATAAATGCACGACATGAAAATAAATGATTTTCCATGCCTGGTGAATGGAAATTTAAGTGTTAATATAAATAAATTTGAAAATATTATCATTTCACACTGAAATCTAGACTTGAAAGCGTTTTTAGCGAAAGCGTTAAGCTTTTTTAAATTCGCGAGTATGAATTCTGTGAAAATAGCAATAACAAACTTTATACTGTTTCAATTCAATACACGTGAATTTTTTTAACGTCGTCCATTTAAGTTTCTCTCATTGTTTTTTGACGTTTGACAAGCCAGCCCAGTTAGCGAGTGGGATTCGTTAACTGGACTGTGATTTTAGCGCAGTTAGCGAACAGTACTGTAGCTTAGTTAGTGCACCAGGAGCCGAGGAAATTGATGGAGCCCTGTCCTGTGTGCTCACGAAGCAGAGGTCCAAACTACGGTCATTTTCGTTAACTACATGGTTAATTTGAGAAAGCGTTGCTGCGCTGTAGTTGTCGAGAAGGCTAATAGCTCCTGCGTGAAATGTAGAGCTATCAGGATCTGGGTACAGGAATCCGCTATGAGATGGACTCCACGAAACGCCTGGCAGATTGAAGTCACCAAAAATGAATATCTCATCAACTGGAGTGGCACTTTCGATAACTGTGAAAACTGACCGACAGTGAGTATCGATGAGTTCATTGTCCCGAGCTCGATCAGGTGGAATGTACAGAGCGCATAGAAATAGTGTGCGGTCACCCAGATTGATGGCTGTCCAAACCTGCTCCACATAGTTCGATGAATCGTTCTCGATGGCCTTTGCCTCCAACCAACCACGGACAGCTACAAGGACACCTCCACCAGTAGATTTGCGGCTGTTGTTAGGATTCCGATCGCAACGAAAGACCTCGTAGTCAGGACCGAAGACTTGACTGGAAAGCGTTCGATAATCGAGCCACGTTTCGCACAGGACAATTACATTGTAGCAACAATCCGATACAGCTAGGCGGTACTCTTCAACATCATAATTCATTCCACCGGCGTTTTGGTAGAAGTAAATTTATTGGAAATAAGCTCAAAGTTTCTTGTCAACCATCTCCCGGAAACTCCATGAAATTCACTCAATTTTTTTTATAAATTCTCTTGAAACTATCTTCAAACTAGCATGAAATTAGCAAAGAATTTGTTGAGCTATTATAAGAATTAGATTTCCGTGGAACAAGTATCCTTATTTCCTTTCAACTCTTATCAAAATGTCTCTTCCGATAATCGATAGCTCAACATGTCAACATGAGTTTCAGACGTAATTAATCATTAGGCGTGTCAGGATTAGAATGGTCCCAGAAATTCTTTTCAATTTCCTTTGGAGTTCCTGGGAATTATAGTCTC